TTCTCCGGGGGGCCCCTCCCCAAGAGGCAGCAGCTGGGTCCCCAGGATCCCTCCGGCCACATGCTCTCTGTGCCGGCGAGGGTGGCTTGAGCAGGCCGCTGGGTGGAGGAACATGGGGGCTGTGTCTAGACTGGCCAATTTTTTCGCAAAAGCAGCTGCTTTTCTGGAAAAACTTGCCAGCTGTCTACACTGGCTGCTTGAATTTCCGCAAAAGCACTGACGATCTCGTGTAAGATTGTCTGTGCTTTTGCGGAAATACTATGCTGCTCCCGTTCGGGCAAAAGTCTTTTTCCGAAAAGCTTTTGCGCAAAAGGGCCAGTGTAGACAGCTCAGATTTATTTTCCGCAAAAAAAGCCCCGATTGCGAAAATGGCGCGTCTAGATTGGCCACGGACTCTTTTCCGCAAAAGCATTCTGCCAATCTAGACGTGCTTTTCCGAAAATGCTTTTAACGGAAAACTTTTCCGTTAAAAGCATTTCCAGAAAATCATACCAGTGTAGACGTAGCCGGGGAGTTTTTTACGCCCCTGCTGGAAGCAGTTAAACCGGTTTAGTTCTCTGGTGTAGACAAGGCCTGGGTCAGAGGCTCTGGGTATTGGGAAAGTCGCAGGGTCCCCGAAGCCGATTTGAGGGACCAGGCAGGGGAGGCGCAGACACGTGTCCGGGTGGCCCAGCTGCTGCTGGTGGGAGCCCCCCAGGGCCGGGAACCCAGCTTGCAGCAACTGCTCCATCACGGGACTCCGGGAGCTGGGGCTTGCGGGGCCGGGCCAAGGCCTGGGTCAGAGGCTCTGGGTATTGGGAAAGTCGCAGGGTCCCCGAAGCCGATTTGAGGGACCAGGCAGGGGAGGCGCAGACACGTGTCCGGGTGGCCCAGCTGCTGCTGGTGGGAGCCCCCCAGGGCCGGGAACCCAGCTTGCAGCAACTGCTCCATCACGGGACTCCGGGAGCTGGGGCTTGCGGGGCCGGGCGGGCTGCAGGGATCGGACCCAGGGCAGGGCGAGGCGCAGCACCGCAGACCGCAGCCCCCCCCCCGGGAGCAG